AATTCATACGTAGGTCGATGTAGTGGTATAATTATAACGCAAGCATCGGTGGTGGTGGCGATGCAGGCACATACAGTGAAATCGAGGATTCGATAAATCCACAGCAATAGTGTAAAAGTTGCAGATTGCTCGACGCGCGTATGATTTTCATATTATTCGCATGAGTCACGCTGCAACGTACTACGGCAGCAGCTCCATACACACGCGTCTCGCGTACAGTACATGTACGCATATAGGCAGGCGGCGTGGATATATTATTATATATATAAGAGCGAGTGAGGCCGCCGCCACCGCCATCCGCGCACAAGAGCGCGCCAGACCAGCGTTCGACTTTTCACAAGCGGGCCTGCATACGTATTATGTACTCGTCGGTGTATGTACTATGTACTCGTATCGAGCTGGCCATAAGTGCGTTAAGAAAATTTCCGCCAGCTGCAGGCCAATAAAATGTAACGATTCCGTCTGGGCGCGATCGTGCGAATCGAAACTTGACTCGATCGCGGCTGGGCTGCTCGCGTGCCGGGACTGCAGCAGACTCTACGTGTATATAAGTGAGACTTGCGCAGCCCGAGCGCGTATTACATAGTATTACGGTATGTCGCGCGACCACCAATGCCTCCATTGGCCGCGACCATTACGAACAACGAGAAATAAATCGTCGCGATGGGCGTTCTTTTTCTTTTGGACTTAGCGCGCGAACGCGATCGCGTTATCGGCCCGCAGCAGACACATCGAAGGGCGATCACGAGTATGTATATCGCCACGAGGACGGCGAAATATGCACACCGAGCAGTCGGACTCGATCAGCTGTGCAGCGCCGAGCAGCAGTGACAATTCGTATTCCGTCAGCAGCCACTCCGCAGCTGCACTCGCAGAGAGCGCGATGCCAATTAGATGGGACGCGTCCCGATGACGTATAGCCGATCGTCGCCAGTCAGTTTTCCTAAGGAAAGGTGCAGATCGCGCTTACGCATAGCTGCGCTACGAGCCGCAACAGCATAGGAGGAGACAGTTAGTGACGTCGTATATTTGTAGCTAGAGGAGTACGCGCGCGGCCCAAGCCTATTGCAACTCGTGCTGCAGAGAGCTACACGATGTGAATGTGTACTAATGGCTCGCACTCGCACTGGCGCGCGATAGCGGGTCAATCGAAAAGAGAGAAGCGCCGATTCGGCCGATATCCGTTCTCGTCGAGTCTCTCTCCTAGACAGCAAATACCCGAGCAAGTATTTTTACTTATAATACGTGTACGCGCGTGCTCGCACTGCATGCGATGCCCCTTCTTCGCGCTCGTGCCCGAGCTAGCATCCTGAATCGCTGCTGCTGCTGCTGCTGCTGACTCTACAGCCTTTTAATCAGGAGAGGAATTTTCATTATTTACATTGCAGCCAACGTATATATACTTTGAGCACGCACAGCTGGCTCGCGACTTAAGAGCTGCGAAGAGTCAAGACTCGCCTGCTGCTGCAGCCGCTCGAGCTCGCTGAGATACAGAGAGAGGGTTTTCATTGATGATCGCGTCGCGCGCAGCCTGCATCGAGCTTTGTACATTTGTAAATGTGGCCACTGTACCATACATAAAGAGTCTCGTCGCGCTCGACTCGCGCGACTAATGAAACTTTTTCTCGATTCCCGCCCTCCTCTTCCCCCCTGAGGCCCGTCTCGGCCCAACAGTCATTTCCATCTATGGTACGAAAAGTTCGTTAAAACTAATGATTTTTAGAATTTTGACGGATATTAACGCGTTTCTGGCATAGGTATACTTAACATATGCGAGGCAACACTGTAAACGACGGTAAACGGTGGGGGAGAGGCAGGCTTTATCGAACACGTGGGCCTTTCGTGCTGTATACGTACACGAGCACACGACAAGGCGTAGCAGCGAGCTCGCTCGGCCACACGCGTATACAGTGCTACATATATAATTCGACGCGCCGACTATTCTTTAATGCATATCTCGATTCACAACGCACATATACGTATACGCGCGAGTACGTATCGGTCGAGCAATGACTGGGTATTTTCGATTATCTTTTACGTGTATCGCGAGCCAAGCGATCCATCCACGCGACTTTCGAGTGCCTTGCATTTTTTCACTCGACAACGATGATCGCGCGACACCTAGTTTTAATTGTCATTAATTGCGAGCTCCCCCCTCGATCGTTCGCGTCTGCGATCTCGACATCGTTGCCAAAAAAACATTTGGACACGCGCCGTTTGGAACAAAAATATTCAGTCATGATCCGTAGCTACGCCGATTGTCTGATTTTTTTACTTGATCGTAGATTAACCGATCGAACGTGCCTAATGGCAAGGTCTTTTTATTTCCTGCCGATCTTATAACGCACCGAGTGAGCATTTAATTCGATCCACGAAAACTCGATAATTTTTTTGATTTTAATGCCACGTCCCGGAGAACCATCTCATATGCTAGCTCACGTGAACGATGTAGATATATACATTTTTTTTACGATGTATACTTATGCGGCCGATAAACGATGTTGTAATGGATTTTTCAGAGCGATGCGATGCACCAAGCAAAGCAAATAGATAAGGTGTAAATAGGAAAGTTCGATAAAACGTTCCGGATTTGACTCTCGCAACGTTGTATGCCTGGCACAGATCGTTACACGAAACGAAAATCCACGCGAGCTCGATTGCCGCGCGAGTAAAGCCAAACAACGCCGCACGCGGTTCCTGCCTCTGTACGCGCGTCTACTAATGCCTGTGGGATTGTGCGTGTGCACCCATTATGCTGTGTCTCTGTTTTTACACAAATCAATGTGTGTGCGGTAATAGAGCAAAGGCACTTTGCCATCTCTCAAATACAGCCGAGCAATCCGCGTGCTCGCGAACGACAATTATATTGTAGAATTTTCATAAATCGAATTAACGCATGCGGGCCATTAGTAAATAATGACTTGAAAAAGCTATTCCTATTTTCAGCGAGCTTTAGATAGCGAATCGCAATTCGAAATTCATATGAGTGAACGAACGATGCTTGATTTTTCGCACAGCCCGATCGAGGCGCATCAGCATGACGCCGTCAAGCTCCTTACTGGCGATCATATGGTAACAGGTGCTCCGCGAGTCGAGCCTGCAGCTTAATACTCCGCGCGCACACATTCACGAAGATGCTTCGCACACGCTATCGTGCTCATATTCCTACGTTATACCTATGTATGCGCGCGCTATATAGTAATAAACTGCAGCTCAACTGAGAGCCGAGATATATGTTGGTATACATAAGGAGAAAGTTTTTGAACTCGCGCCTGGTGACGTCAATGACTTTTCTCTCTCTCTCTCCCTGCTGCTCTTTTTATCTGCGTCGCTTTTATGACGCATCGTCACATATATATATCGTCACATACGCAGGCTTCGGCCCGTAAACACGAGAAAATGTGCTGCTTAACGATATATTGTGTCGCCGTGTGTATTACAGGTGTATAATGCCTAGGCTACGTGAAGAATGTACGTATCCATATTATGCACGTACGATGATACGCTCACCAAATGGTAATTTCGTTGTGCTTAGGACACATTGTGCGTGCGTACGCGTATACAACGTCACGCGCAAACCTGTTGCTCGAATTTCCTAGCGCTACATGTCTCTACCCACGATGCGTCATATCGAGTACTTACATAATTTTTTTTTTTTCCTTCTAATTACTCGCCGTGTTCCTCGATCTTGTTTTTCGGCCGCGTGTGCATAATGATGTTCAATCCGAGTCGAACGATCCATTATGCAATGCGCGCAGCTCTGCAGCGACCAACCAGAGCTATATTGGTGAGCGCGAATTCGGCGTGCGTCTTATTTGCCACCACGTCTACTTATAACGAGCTATTGTGGCTATTATACGCCAGTGTCAAGCGATGCGATCGGCTGCACCTCGAGACAATTCAATTATAATACTCTCGATGACTTACGGAACCCAATTAAGGGTATACAGACAATTTGATTCACTAATCGACGTCGACGCGAGCATCATAAAATAAACATTAACGGTACAACTTCTTATTACTATAATGCAGCGTGTCACACAAACGATCAACGATTATTAAATATCTCATCTTCCATTTGAGATTACTTCATGGACTAATTGATTGAGCCTGTTCTGTTGTAAACAAATAAACATGGGATTCAGTATCAATATCAATGGATTTTCATCCAATAACGAAAGAATTTGTTAAAATTGATTGAATAATACTAATGTTATGAATTATTTGAAAAAATTTGATTGTCAAGTCAAAAAAATTATTCTATGCATAATCCTCTCTTAAATAATATTAAAATAGTGAATAATCTTCCAAACGAAAATTAAAAATTTCATATCTTAATCTTTGAAAAATCAAAAGATAAGTAAAATAAATGTTCACTGAATCATTATCATCAAATTTTTGTGCACAATGATAATTATAGTAAATTACAACTATCATAGACTTTATTAAGAAGTAATAATATGGACTGTACAATCTTGCACTATGCATTATGAAAGAAGACACTAAGGCATTGAAGAGTTTAAATTCAAATTTGTTGATTATGTTAAAACATTTTTTACGTATATAGTATGAAAAGCAGTGTATACTATTCTCATTTGAGAATAGAACGGGCATGTATATCATATTATGGCTTAATTGATTTTGCAAAATTTTTTCAAATAGATACAAGTTATCTACTTTACTCATACTTTTGTTAAGTTATAATAGTATATTCGAAAACTTTGGAAAATATTTGTTAGCATTGATAACTATCATTTAAACATAGTATAGTTAATTAGTTCAATTCAATTGCAGCGTAACACTGATGATCTTTAATATTATTAATATTATATTGTTCGTCAAATTTATTTGCATTTTTCAAATTTTTTCAATTTTGAAAAGTTTTATTTATAACATATTCAAAAATATCAAATATCATAATTCAAAATATAGTCATGTAACTAGGATAAAGTGCATGAGAATAAAGCACTTTCAGTGATAAAAACAAAATTAAAAGCCAATTTAGTACATAAATGTGACAACAAATATTTACTATTTTTATTTTTCATTATTTTTCATTGTTAGCTATGGTCAAGTGAAAGAGTGTTGGAAAAACATTTCATTTTTAGCTCAAGTCAACTTCACAAATAATAAGCGGTACAAGCATGATATTTAGTGCCAATCAATCCACCAGAGATAGGACCAATCAGTATGATTCACAATAATTATTTCATTAGATTAAAGAGTATAATACATGAGATAATCTTTTTTTAATATAAGATAATCAACAATTAATATTCAAAAGTCTAGTCACGTCTATAAAAATAAGTGAAAATATTTTATGGTAAACTGTACAACTGTTTGCAACAAAACTTTTCTTGAAAAATATTTTAGTTGTTTTTGATGAACTTCATGTGAGTAAAACGATTGGTGCGTCAGATATATCACAATTGTTCCTCATTCAAAGTGATGAATCAAATTCTTCACAGAAATATTTTTCAAGATACGTCAAAGAATACCAATGAATATTGATAAAAAATGTATTATATCAAAGTTATATAAAACTTCTATTGCTTGCAACTAATAGGTATTCATACATTACACAGTTCAAAAAAATTATTAATGCTTCCAAATACTTATATCACAATATATCAACTCATTACTTTATTCATTATTATTGTATAGTGTATGGCAAATGCTGTTCCATAATTTCATATTAAAATAATTTTTTTTTCGGTCTTACACACCCACATTAATTATTTTCACTTGCTTAACAGTTTGCATAAGAAAGTTTTTTTATTATTATTCATGTATATCTCTTCAATACAGAGAATTTGAGTCGAGTAATAAATATCGGTAAAGGTGAAGTTATCTTTAGTGGTAGTGGCATGAGTGTTTTTTTCTTTTTCTATCTGTTCTTAGCTTAGAAACCATGGACCTTCAGTTGGTCAGGTTTCGCCAGACCAGATTTAGTGAGCCACTGACATATGTTTTCTCTTTGATCCCCCTGCAGCTGCAGCACCTCCCCGTACTCTGGGTGCTCTATTACAGTCCCATTGCAGGCAAACTCCTGTAAAGAAATTTGAAATTACAATATATTGAAACAAAAATAAAATAAAAAGAAAATAAGATAAAGAATTTTAAACTAATGTGTAATCGTAAAGTGAGAAAATAATTTGTAAACAGAATATGAAAAAACAGACTTGATATATTCAAGACAAGAACACAAGGTCGCATCTAAATATAGTTTGATCAAGATCATCTGATCTGTAGCAAACAGCATTATTGTTTTTGCAATGAGGGAAAAGTATAAAAAAGATAAAAACAGTAAAAAGATACAAAGGTATTAACCAAGTAGAAATAATGTTAGTTAAATTGTAAATGCAAAGTTAAGTTCATGTGCAAGGTTGCAAATTTGTACTATCATCTGACAATGGATACATCATGCAATATCGTTTGCCAAGCGGCAACATTTAATTGACGTTTGAAAATAATATCAAACAGTAAAAAAATTGCTTCAAGTTTCAATTTTTCAAGTCAATTCATTGTTAAAAATCATAAATAATATTGTTTAAATGTAAAAGTACTGACCTTTTTACATGCTCGAACAATTTTTTTCAAGTCATATTCAGACGAGAGTCCCTGAACGGTAGTCAAGGTCTTGCGACCATTCCGTTGCTGGATCCTTATGTGTACGAGACCGTCTTGGACATCGTCATCGGAACCCTTGATTGCATCTGCAAAGGGGTCTGAAAAAGATAAAAGGAGGAGCGTGAGTCATTGCTCGCATAAGAGGACGCTGTACATTTCTCTGGACATTTGGCGCCGAGAGTACGTGCGTGCTTCGCACTCAGGAGCTATGTAAAATAACGGTCACTGATGACGGCAGCGACTGTACGCGTATACAACGATGAGGATGGCTGACCAATTTCTGCTGCCACGCGCAAGTAGGGCCAAGTTCAGCGCGCGGAAAAGGGAGCGGAGCGCTCGTGGCCCGTGAGACCAAGGGCTCGTTGGTCGACGTGACATTGACGCGTTCTATCTAGGGGACGATGTAGGACGATTGTCAGGCCAAGGCTCGACAGACAGAAAATACGAGATATCGCAAGTGTTGGAGAAAAGACAACCGCCATTTTGTCGTGCAGCGTGATGATGATGAAGTGAGAGCGCGCGCGCCGGGACGTTTTCGATATGTACCGTGAGAGAGACTGACGTCGACAATACGACGATAGAACAACGTTTCCAAGGGCAGACGGCCAACTAGAAATGCATCAACATGGCTGCACACCGATATGTTATTTAATTTTTAAATGGACTTACCGAATGTGTTAAGATTCTGGATGGACATACGACAAACAAAAAGTTTCCCTCGCTTGATATACGCTGCTGATCGCAGGAGAGTCGGTTGGTTATGTGCGCGTCAAGTTGGACTCGAACTCGCACAAGATTCTAGTTGCTTCGCAGAAAGATTTCTTTCACAAAGCAGGTGCTGGTGAGCTTATTAATTTGCAGATGCAAGACACAAACAACGCGTGATATCACTCTGGGGTTTGCTGCTGATGCTGCTGCTGCTTTGAGGATGGTGATGATATTTCCTCGCGTGTGTAGTGTGTATACCTTTAGCTATATATGCGTGCGCAACTTTATGTCGAAAGCCAGTCGACGACACAGCAGCAGCGCGTGGAGGGGGCGACGTGAGCTAGGTAAACCTCGACGATTTTACTCTCTTCGTCTGCGACGACGCGGCAGATCGAAAAGCCAAAAGGAGGAGAAAATATGAGAAAGAGAGAGAAATGTGCGGAGAGAGGAGCTCAGAGAGGTGTGTCGTGTGTCTGATTCTTCTATACGGTTGAACTTGCCTGGTTTAGGGTTTAGCCACGATCGGCGCGTCAGAGGCCGCCTATCTCTGTTATAACTTAATAACTGACACGAAAGCAGTATATTCCGTTAAATGGAAAGTATGCCTACATCTTTTTAGATTTTCGACCGTCATTCCGGATGTAAATTAAAAAAAGACGTGTATCAAGTCATGTCTCATGTGGGGCCTCGTGAAAAAATTTTATGAATAATAATAGTATGGCTGATCTGTTCCTGAAAATAAATTTTAAAGTTCAGATTTTCGCATGTCAAGTTTGACTTTGGCCATTGTTTATTATGAATGCTGCAGGAAATACCTTAAAAAATTATCCTCGAATTTTCAGTATTTTTGCTAATAACCGTTGTCCTTTTGAAATAACAACTCTTGTACAAAAAAAAAACACAAGATGAAAATGACGCGTGACGCACAAGATGAACATTTTTTCGCGAGTCGTGGAACTTTTTCTTTTAAAATTTATTTATATTCACGTTTCAGGTATTTTTCGATAAAAACTTTGTCTTATTGTTAGAAATTCGAAGACTGTTTCTTAATTGATACCGTCGTTTGATGATGGTAAATATTTATCATTTTTTCATTCAATTTTTCTGTTCTAAAATCTACATGTAGTTTGAACAATTAAAGTATCATTGTCAGATTTCAAATAAAATCAGCCCTCAGTTTATTCGCTTCAATGGAGTTTGCGCAAGTAAAAACATTCTGTATATCAGTATGGACTGCTTGTCATTCGTAAGCAGACTACGTGCAGTCTTCGCATATTTCTGTAGCGTGCAACTCCTGTCAACCCGCCATATCCAGCATTTGATTTTACAATTTTAAATTAACGACAGTACTTGGCGAAAAAAAGCTGTTATTATTTTACAAAGTTCGAATTTCACAGCTATCATATACAATGAGTCAGAGTAGCAAAAAACCGAAAGTTGTTGTTTTTGATCTAGGTTAGTATAATTTTGTCATTAATGTTAAAACTGTTGATAGAACAGATTTATCGTTAATGTAAAAATCTATAAACTAAAAGTATTTGCTCATTTACAGATTATACTTTATGGCCATTTTGGGTAGATACACATGTTACACCACCTTTTAAAAAAACGTGAGTATCGTAAATGACATTATCTCCAAATGTACCTAAATAAGATCTAATTAGAAAGTACTCGCAAATTGTGGGTCAGGTTGGCTTTTTTCTAGAGGTTTGAGTTTTAAGTTTTGAGCCAACCCGAACCGACCATACCTGAGCCTGACAGGTCGAGTTGCAACTTCGGGTTATCCGATTTTTCAGGTACATCCCTTATCTATTACCTTCAATCTATTTATGTATGTAAATGTATTTTTTACAGATCAAATAAAATTGTTGACACCCAGGGGCAAACAGTCAAACATTACCCTGATTCGCCAGGTATATTAAAAAAATTACATGAGGATGGTTATGAAATTGGAATTGCCTCTAGGACATCAGAAACTAAGGGGGCCAACCAATTGCTTGAATTATTTGGATGGAACAAGTATATAAAATATAAAGAAATTTACCCAGGAACTAAAACAACTCATTTTTCAAAGTAAGCAAACATATTTTAAGGTGATGCCGAAGCCCCGATTTTGACCGACCGAGCATTAAAAGTGTAAATTTACCGTTTTCCGAAAAATGGCTCTGTGGAGCCCTCCGTATTGATTCTGGGAACAACTGTGCCAAATTTCATTCCATTTCATTCAATAGTTTTTCCGGAAAACGGAATCAAAATTTTTGATTTAGGTTTTCAGTTTTAAAAATTTCAATCTAATTTTCCGGAAAAACCGCTGAATGAAATGGAAAGAAATTTAGGACAGATGTTCACAGCATCTATACGGCGGGCTCCACAGAGCCGTTTCTGGAAAATCAGTCTAGTATAAAAGTTATTGAAATTTTTACTTATTATGCTCGGTCGGTCAAAATAGGGGCTTCGGCATCACCATAATTTTCTAAATTCAAGTATATATACAATTTATATATAAATTACAATGATCCTTTGACATAAAATATTTAATTTTCAGAATCAAGAAAGCTTCAGGAGTTGATTACAAAGACATGATATTCTTTGATGATGAACAGAGAAATATCACAGATCTCACGAAATTAGGTGTTTTATCAATCCTAGTTCGTGATGGAGTTACACATAAAGTGATACAAGATGCCCTCACACAATTTGCTAGTTGATAATAACTGACTACAAAATTAGCTAATTATGTATATTATTTTACTGTAAATAAAAATATTAATAATCTTTTTTTAACAAATAGTAACAAATAAAAAAATCATGTTTAAGAAGACTAAATGAATTGATAAATTTGTTAACTAATTAAATTTAAAAAATCTAAATAAATTCATTGGCTTCTGTCATTTTTTGGTAATACTGTACTGGTCTTGTAATGTTTATATTTTTGGTTTCTGTAGTACTTTGAATTTTAAAATAATTTAAGCAAGCTATTTTGGGTTCTTCATTTGAATTGGTCACTAAAAATTCATTCACTTTGTTTTTGGTCATAGATTGACTCAATAAAGATTGAAGTGATTCCATGTCAAAGTTACTGAAAGGACATCCACCTTCATAAGCAGCTCCAGGAAACTGTTCCTAAAAATAATATTTATCATATGATAAACATGAGTGAATAGCAATCTAAAGATTTCTAGTTTAAAAGAAACTTACATACATATCTTTACAACTTGGAGTTTTATAATCTTTTCTGCCACCTTCCAAGCCATACATGTGCCTTATACTGTAGATAAACTTTTTGGCATCAGTTTGCCAATCATGATTACAAAGAGCCTTGCAGTTATGTGGTTTGGAATACTCATTTCTCCAGTATAGTAAAGATTCCTCTAAACTCATTCCGCACTCTTTTAGAAATAAAGTATAATAAAATCTAGCGTAATGACTTAAACGATGCTTCAGTCTGAGTTGAAAGTGCATATGTTGCATACAAAGTGGAAAATTTGATACTTCATTGTCTATATTTAATGTGGTTATCTTTCCAACCTTGTAAACTTGGGAATTTAAGCCTTGCTGCAATTTTTTACTTATATATTGGAAACGAGGATCAGTGAAAAGTTGTCTAGCAATTTGTTTTTGATATTTACTTTCAAAGATTATAAAAGTTTTGAATAACGATTGAAACAATTCCTTCCACTGAGAACAGTATATTGTAGCTAAGCCTTTGTTCAGTATAACAGACCTTGCTTCTATCATTTCTGGTATCAATTCAAAATTAACTGAAATGTTGAAATCGATTAGTAAATAAGGGAATGAAAAACAATAATAGATTTAGATTATTGAATTTTTTCAAACCTCTATGATGATATTTTTGACATATTTCATCATGATGACCAGAAGTGATATGTTTAAACATTTTAGTTGTTATATAAAAGGAGCAAATACTGTACAAAATATTATCCACAGGATTAATGCTTCCAATTCTTCTTTTTAAATGCCTCAACATAGTTCTAAACAATCTAAATACTTGACGTGGCTGTACTACAGACAATCTATTTCTTAATAATAAAACTTCTTTATTCATCCAGTAAGTAAATAATTCAGATGATCTTAAAGTTAATAACCTGTTAATAATGGAACATATTAATAATAATGTAACATATTTTTATAAATAAGAATAGTTAAAATAAAGCTGATAAATATGTTACCTTAGAGTAAAATGTCCAACACAATCATGTGGAGAACCTTCTAATAAATATTCAAATTTATCATTGAAAGTTATAGAAGATTTTTTTTCCTGAATTAAATTCAAATATTTCCAACGAGTAAATACAACATCTTCTAAAGTTGGTAAAGTCATTAAACCTTTCGGTGGTTGAATGTAAAACATTTTTCTACTAATAAAATTTAATGCAGTTGAGAAATTATACACTTTTATATTGTCAACGACAACATAAATCTATCAAATTTTTGACCAAAATCGGGTTGTTCATAGTTGGAAGAAACTGTAATTGTTTTGCTCATGATGATCACTCACAACAATATAAGACCATTTCTAAATGCATAATTCTAATATGCATGAATTCAGTACCGACAACTCAATCAAAATACAGTCAGTAACGGGCAAATCGAAAATGCAATTGCAGTGGCCAGTACATTTAATCGCTACATTGCAAGGGTGACTTGAGCAATATCAATGAAACCTGATGACAGTGTGTTGGGTGTAAACTTCGCGGAGGTGGGGAGTTTGCACAGCACACACGCATAAGATATATTTGCGAATGTGAATGTGGCAGACGTCGAGTCGTCGTCGACAGACGATTAATAAAATCAGTGAAAAAATTCATTTCCTAAAGCAGGAAACGACGATATTGCTATCCAATGTCGTCAATGTTATAGCTGTTAAAAGAAATAAATAGTGGTGCTCGTAATCTGGATTGCAATACCAATGTGGAGCTAAAGGATATGGTAAGCGTTCGAAATAAAAAAAAGCACTGTTAGTATGCACCATGTAGGCTACAATAAAAACAATATACGCAACAGTGTAAATATCACAATTTCGTATTTGATGTACATAACAACCCTACATTCATAATCTCTTCAACATCGACGGCATCAAGTTTTTCACTCCTGAGTCACGATTTCTGATTCAATAGCTTCACTGACAGATTGTATTTATAAGTATAATTAGTTCTGTGTTTTTCCCTGAAAACTTCCATTTATGTATCTGAACTGTATTTTTTTGATAGGTACCTATCACTGAATTGCAGAATTGTTCTTTATTTTTTCTGATATTATAGTGTTATAAGTTACATGTTTGAAGTAGATCAGTCTATTATAATTCATTGTATAAAAAAATAATATAGTTGTACAGCAGTTAGTTCAGAATAAAAATAAAAAATACTTGTTTTATAAATCAAAGATGCTCAAATGCAAATTAAGACAATTTTTACATAAAAACGTTTATTAAAAAGTTCAGAAAAATCTTGAATTAGTATATATCACATTTAAAATAGCTTAATAAAGAATTCAATAAGATTATTAACTGTCAATAATGTTCTTATTAATTAAAATAATTACTTCACTCATAGACATTAGGAAGTTAATGTGAATAATATAGGCATGTTATGTTTATAAACAAAAACAGCTGAGCACAATGCCATGGAGAAATTTCCGCTGAAGGGCACCTCATCAGTTTTATTCAGCAAAGCAAATGCCAGTACGCTTATGAATTATAATTCAGTTGATGCCAAGGTAGGCATCTTATTAAACGCTTTTTATTTCATATGAGACCAAATTTTTGAATAAATATTATTTTATCCCTCTCTTAAAATAATGATTTTTAAAGAATCATGATAAATTTACTCAATTGTTTGGTTGCATAGTGTTTTTACTTTTACATAATTATTATTATATGTTCATTTCTTTTTGAAACATTATCATTCGCTGGACAAAGATAAGTAATTTTCATAACATGTATGGTAAAAATTTATGTGCACTATGCAGTGTCGAAAAAATAATGCAACATGCCTAGATCCTATCTTAAAATTATCATAAAAGTTGAAATTATGATTTGTTTGTGGTATACATTGAATAAATTAAAATATTTCAGAGGGCCGATGGTGTAGAAAGAAACATGGATAACCCAAATTATAATCCAGGTCCAAGGAGTGGTAGAGGTGCAAGTATGAGCAGTGATGAAGAAACAATTGAAGATAAGCCACTTAGTTCTATGCGTCAACAAGAAAGTAATTCAGCTTATTATGAAAGAGAAAGAGCAATAAATATTGATGATCCTTGCCCTCAATGTTAGTATTTTATGTTTTCTTATAGTTTTTATTTTTACTATATTAAAAATTCTATTTTATATGTTGTATAGATACAGATTATGTTGATTCTGAGGATATCCCAGGAATAGGCCAGTATGATGATTTCCATACAATTGACTGGCAAAGAGATATAGCAAGAGATCGAATGCATCATAGATATATATTGAAAAAAAAATATGATTCAATGTGGGATTTAATTAAAGGAGCTCATGATGCATGGTCAGGATGGCTTTGTGTTTTGTTTGTGGGCATTTTTACCGGAGCTGTAGCTGGTGCAATTGATATTGGAGCAACATGGATGACTGATTTAAAGTTTGGAATATGTCCTGCTGCATTTTGGTTAAATAAAGAACAATGTTGTTGGAGCGAAGAAACGTCTTTTGATGGAGACAATTGTACTCAAGTAGGTTAATTTTAAAATACTAAGTAAGAAATAATCAGTTCTTACCTGGAATTTTAATCTATTGTCATATTTTTATTATAGTGGAGGACATGGCCTGAAATTTTTGGACGATCAAAGAAAGGAGTTGGGCCTTATATTTTGTCTTATTTATTTTATATTGTTTGGGCCCTTTTATTTGCTTCTTTATCAGCATCTTTAGTACGAATGTTTGCACCATATGCATGCGGTTCTGGTATACCAGAGGTAATCTTGAAATTTCAAACAAGTATTTTTATAATTTAATGAAACATAAATAGTAAAATAACAGTTCTTATTTTAATTTCAGATCAAAACTATTTTAAGTGGTTTTATCATTCGGAGCTATTTGGGGAAATGGACCTTGATTATTAAATCTGTGGGTTTAATTCTATCAGTATCTGCAGGTCTGAACTTAGGCAAGGAAGGCCCAATGGTCCATATAGCATGTTGTATAGGCAACATTTTTTCGTATTTATTTCCTAAATATGGTAGAAATGAAGCAAAGAAGAGAGAAATATTATCTGCTGCAGCAGCTGCTGGAGTTTCTGTAGCTTTTGGAGCGCCAATCGGTGGTGTTCTTTTTAGTTTGGAAGAAGTGAGGATTCGTTAACTTTACAATATTTATATCAAAACATGTAATTTTTATACAAATTTTCAAAAACGTACTCTTTTAGGTCAGTTATTACTTTCCTCTAAAAACTCTTTGGCGATCTTTCTTCTGTGCCCTTGTTGCTGCATTTGTCTTGGGATCAATAAATCCTTTTGGTAACAAACACTCTGTACTCTTTTTTGTTGAGTACAATAAACCTTGGATTTTCTTTGAACTTATTCCTTTCATATTTCTTGGAATAATTGGAGTAAGCAAGACTTTACAAATACTTTTTAAACATATTTAATTACTTAATATTTAATTTTACACAACATTTCTATTAAAGGGAGTGATTGGAACTCTGTTCATTAGAGCTAATCTCCGTTGGTGTCGTTATCGAAAGTCTTCTAAACTTGGACAATATCCTGTGACTGAAGTTCTTATCGTCACTGTACTTACAGCTGTTATTGCTTTCCCCAACCCGTACACACAAATGAGCACAAGCAAACTTATTTATTTATTGTTCAGGAAATGTGGTGTTGCTGAGACAGACATGATATGGTACATTTTGTTTAAACAGTAATTTACTTAAAGATGTTCCGTTTTTAATAATTTATTGTTTTTCTGTTTCACAGTGATTACCAGCGTAACTTTACGGATGTCAACTCTGTGTACTTGCTCATTTTAGCGTTTATTGTTAAATTTGTCATGACCATCTTTACATTTGGTATGAAAGTACCTTGCGGTCTGTTTATACCCTCGTTGTGTTTAGGAGCTATTGTTGGGCGCATTGTTGGTATTGGCATGGAACAGCTAGCGCATCATTATCCGCACATTTGGATGTTTAGTGATGAGTGTTCAACCGGAGAAGATTGTATTACACCAGGACTGTATGCTATTGTGGGAGCTGCAGCTGTACTAGGGGGTGTCACAAGAATGACAGTATCATTGGTAGTTATCATGTTCGAGTTAACTGGAGGAGTTAGGTATATTGTTCCATTGATGGCAGCTGCAATGGCCAGCAAGTGGGTTGGCGATGCACTGGGTAAACAAGGTATCTACGATGCTCACATAAATCTTAATGGATATCCATTCTTAGATAGTAAAGATGAATTTCAACATACAACATTGGCTGCTGATGTTATGCAACCCAAGTAAGTCAACTTTATGTACAAATTAATTAAGATTATATTAAGTAAAATTAGTCAGAGTTTAATTTACGAATAACTTTGCAATAATGTAATCAAGTTTATTTTTTTTCAAAATTTTCATAAGCTTTTAAATCTTCAATTAGAATAACAAGAAATACAATATACAGGCTCAAATTTATTCATAGGAAGTATCTTGCCACCTTTTTTAACCCTAGGGTTTTTGTGCATTTTCCATGGAAAATCTTGAAATTTGAAATTTTTTGCTAAAAATTCATTTTTTTTTAAATTAGTTGCAAGTGAGATAGTGAATGTTAAATTAGAAGGTAAAGGTTGGAGATAATTATCAATGGTGGCCAATGATAACAATAGTTTTTTTATTGAATCTTCAATTTTTTCAAAGTAGAAGTCTGTTTTTCTGAAACAAAATTTTCCATTAGTCAACAGTGACATTTAGTCATAGGACATTTTAAATAAGGTAGTTTACTGTAAGATCATTTGCTGCAAAATATCCATTTGTATGACAAATTTTTCTACTGGCACTTTTTTATCATTTTGAATCACGATGTTCACTTTTTTCACACTATCGATATCTTCTTTCAAAAAATCTTCGATATAAGTTAGAATACATTTAATGTATTTATTTAAACCGGGATATCGAGATGTTTTAACAGAAATACCGTAAATTTTCTTCTTCGAAAATATTTCATCTGGATATAACTTTCTGCTATACAAAATAGAGTTGAATGTCACTTCCAAGAATTCCAGCAGTATTTTCACGTGCTCTAAAAAATGAAAAACGATTGTTAAAATTTCTCAACTTTTTTTGGTATTGAAATTCAACGTATTCAAACACACATAAACTATAACTGTGATTTTAAGAAAACTCACCAGGATTTGGTGGTTCTTTTCTCTCTGAATAAAACATTCTTTTTTGTTTTTAATATTATCACAAAATTTTCAAAGTATACAATTAAAAAATTAAAAAACTACGGATAATTTTTATGGTAAAACATTGTTGTTTTGATTTAAAAGAAGGTTATGTTTACTCCAAGCGCATTAACATCTGTCACTGAGCTCAACTGTATCATATCATTTATGAGAAACTACTGCTAAACTACTGGAAAGTAGCAGACCGAAATATTATTATCCATGATTTGCAGTAAAGAAACGTCAAACGTCAAACTTTCCTTTTTAAAAATATATACATTTTTCTGAAATGCGAAGAAAAATTAAAGACTCGAATATTTACATTGAGTAGGCTTATGTTACTCATAAAGAGGATTTTGGTTCTTAAATATTGTATACAGTACAACTATCAAATAAGTAAATAAAAGCTTCGCGACAGTTTCGTCTGGTTAAATTCTTATTCTAGACTTTTGCTCAGTTACTTTAATTGCGTGTATAAACGAGGTACAAAAACACATGCTAAATCGACGACGCAGCCAACAAGTTGCAAAGAACTTGAGTGTTACACAACGTTTTTGAATTAGGTAAAATAATTTATCTAAAACTAGACGCGAATGTTTTCTTATCAAGATGGAATGTAGATTGCTTGGCTTGGACGAGCAGAAACTCGAAGCTTATTACGATGAATTAGATCAAGAATCTAGGAACGAAGAGGCTGATTTTGATGGATTATTCGTCAACTATGAATTAAACGATAGAGAAATGTACTGGCTGTTGCATACTGCTATATGCAAAATGAACTTGATAGTAATGGAAGCCATTGTGATGGCGTGTACAAGGCCACAGCTAGATCATATGTTCAATGCTGCCGATTCGACACTGATTTACACGGCACTGCAGAAGAATTTCATCGATGCCGTGAATCTGATACTCGACTTTAGCGACAATACGAATCGCGTCAATTCCGAGGGCCTGTCGCACTTTTTCATTGCCTGCCAGACCGGCCACGTTGAAAAGTTGCAAAATTACATAGGACTATGTGGAGTAGACGTAAATCAAACTTGTCCGGTCTCCCGCCTCACGCCTCTGCATACGGCCGTTCTTCATAAGCGCGCCGAGGCAGTCGAACTGCTTCTGCAGCTCGAAGCCAATCCCAACATAGTCGAGATCGGCAGCCTCGCGAATCCTCTGCACGTGATTTGTAGCAGCGATTTGGACCTGGAAGAAGACGAATGGAACGATAACAGGTCGTACGCCTCCGATCTGCGAATAATCCAACTTCTCGTCGAGGCCAACTGCGACGTCGATGCCAGGAATGCCGCTGGAAATACGCCTCTGCTATGTTTGTTCGCGAGTCAAGTGAGCGCCTATTGCTCGGACATGGAAGGCTACACCATCCGGCGATGTCGTCAGAAAGACGCTATGGAGCTTCTTCTGGATCACGGGGCCGACATCTCGATACGCAACTCTCTCGGCTTGACCATACTGCACGTGGTGATCAACTCACACGTGTTCAACAATCGCTACCACTTCGTCGACGAGAGCTTTTTCGAAGATAAGGTTGGCGTCCCGATGGCCGATTTATTGATAAGTTACGGAGCCGACGTGAACGACGACTACGACGGATCCGTCGACAGACCGCTGCAGTTGGCCGTTTCCCTCTTTAATTACAAAATGGTCAAGCTTCTTTTGAGTCACAATGCCTCTGTGCAAGACATCGTTTTTGAGGGTGGCTTATTCGAAGACGAGTACAGCGCTGTGCCTAATCTCTACGTTACTCAAAATTTTCAAGGCATCTTCAGACTCTTGAAGAGACACGGATTGCTAATGACAAGAGAACACTATCTCAGAGCGCTTTATGTTGTAGCTTGGTTCGAGTTTTGGACCGAATGGGATACGCTCAATAGTTACCTGTGTACGACCATCATGGAATTATGTAAGAAATACTAAATTATCAATTAAGTAAAGAATAGTTGCTACAAATAGATTCGAGACTTTGGCGCAGGTGCAGGGGCTTATTTCGCCTAGATGCTTATTGTCAACTTATGTTAGAGGCAAAATAAGCTGGCGAGCTAACTTCTCCTTATCCTGTCTATGGACAGGCTTGTGAGTTAACCAACTCTCATATTATAAACTAATAAGAACCATTTAAATTTTTATCTTGATATAAGTAAGACAACCCTTGCTAAAGAGGTTGAATAGATTTTTTTTACGAGAAGTGACATTTATTACTGGAACCAAATAAGTTATTTCCGTTGCACCTGAATCTGTACGAATTCCTTAATCATAAAAAAAGTAAATAAGTGATTGACAACAATATTTTTTTGGCAGGTAGCATATCCAAAATATGGTCATTATGGGAAATGTTAATCTACGATGAATTAGGACAATATCACAATGACCATACGCTTTATAACCTGTTGTCTATTTATGATTACACTACAATTGTATTATACGGCGAAATGTACATGAATGATTTTATGCGATTCGCTTGCAACTACGCAAGAGAAACGGTTAGAAGTACACTGATGGAAGTAATTGAATTTCCAGAATTGGATTTAGAAGGTCTCAGCCGTGAAATAGACCTTTCCACACAAATTATGATAAACGATGTTGTGCCGCTTTACAACGTTTGCGTGACAAACCCTTTAGCAATGTATCCATATTTAAAAAATGGAAAGTATAAAAAGATAGTTTGCGTGTCAAAGTTCCAGCAACAATTTCATATAACTGGAGGTGTCATACAAGGATATATTACAAAAAGCATAATTGCAGGATTTGTTCAGGAATTGGGAGCAGAATTATTGTTACATACATTGCCGCGTCGGTTATCAAAAAGATCTCGCCTACAAATCGCCGCATATTTAGATCTGATCGAAGTACTTTATGTAGCTCAAGCAGTTGAGTTTTCTCAAGAACCGGTAGAAGATGAAGAATTAATTTCGGACGATGAGTCGAGTTCAAGCGTGGATTCTCATTCGTTCGATAAGACAATTTCGAACGAAGAATCTCCTATAAACCTGTCAAACTCAAGCGAAACAGCATCTTCCGAAGAGACTACTTCAGTTGATCCGCCATCACCTATGGACATAACGATAGATATGGATATAGATCCGGAAGTAGATATCATTTCAATGGATAGTTACGAAGAAATGTCTGGACAGGAATAGTCTTTCTCGAATAATTCTTGAGACAAAATAACCACAACAACAATAAATAGAAAAACGCATGGGCGTTACCGTACTCAGCGTTTTGTAAATTCGACAATTTAGTCAAGTTTTACAAAAAAATTTAATCCTTTTCAAGAAAACATCATTGCATCAAAAAGTTAAATATTTTTTTTAGTACAAAAAAGGTAAAAAAGGTAAAAATAAGGCATGAGATCGTCGCCATGAACCAGAAAGGTATCTCAAACTTTGTGTTTAAAAAGTGACAAGTTCCAATCTTATAACATACACAGGACTTGGCTTATTTTTGCCTCCGAGTTTATTGAGATACCTTTCTGCTGCAGGGTGACGATATATTTAGAGTGAATCAATATACGGAGAAAACTGTTTACTAAGAATTGCTGTGTTTTCCGCTAACTGGGATATGCTAAATAGGAGTATTCTTGTAGTATGGGGTAAACTTATTAGGTCCTATAGTAATCATTCCCTTAGTATAATTATAGTAATAATTTCCCTTATGCTACATTGTGAATTTTCCCCACACCTCAAATAAAGTGTAAATATTTGTAATAAAAAGTTTTCTCCGTGGATAATTCATTGAGCTATGGGATCTAAAAAAACAGCGAATTGAATTTTTATTTTTCTTGATTGATTTGAAAAATGTGATTAAGGATCTATTTTTCCCATCTTTTGCGTAGTAATTTTTTGAATGGTGGATTCTTAAAATTTCTAAGCTGCGTTATTGTCTAGTTGGAAACAAATTCCATTTGTCAATCGATCAATCCGTATCGAAACAATGATTTGAATTGTTAAATTTCTCAAAATAAATAAACATAAATGAAATATCAAGTTTGTACGAATTATATTTGGATTAATAACCCCCCTAAGATTTAGTTTTTTTTTAATTCTTGCTAAGAACTCATTGCGAAAAAATATTGATAAATTTTGCTTTATTGCGTAAGCTCTTGCAGTTAAGGGGTTGCCTCAAATTATAAGAGTTTGTCTGTACCTTTTCAGGTTGAAACTATATTGCTTAAATTCCAATTACACCTATAAAAAACCATTTCTTCTCTATAATACTCTTCTCATAATGTAGTAGTTTATTTGAAAAAAAATGAATGTTAATTGATATTGCAAAGTTAAAATTTTACTTGATAGTAAATGAATTTCTCCCGAAATTATTAATGATTCTTCTAGTTAACGAAATTAAACTTTTTTTAGACGGAACGAGACGCTACATGTCCTTACTCAGGATTCGATGACGGTGGAAGATGTGGAGAACCTGCTAAAAGAAACAGAACACAATGGCTTTCCGGTAATTGTGTCGCAAGAATCACAGTACTTGGTTGGTTTCGTCCTTCGACGTGATCTTAATTTAGCTCTTTCGAACGCTAAACGTTTGCTAGAGGGCAATTATCGACAGTCTTTAGTCATATTTACCAGCGGTACGAACGTGCAAAATCACCCCTATCCGCCATTGAAATTGAAGAAAATACTCGACATGGCCCCAATCACCATTACCGATCAGACTCCTATGGAGACTGTTGTTGACATGTTCAGGAAGCTCGGGCTTAGGCAGGTCCTTGTGACGCATAATGGGTATGTATTATATTTTTTCTTATACTATGTTTATTTTTTATATTTTTCAATATGATCGTTATTGAGAAAATCATTGAAACTCTTCATTACATAAATACTTTCAGTCGACTGTTGGGAGTGATCACTAAAAAAGATGTACTGAGGCACGTCAAACAACTCGACGACGAAGATCCGAATTCCGTTTTGTTTAATTAATTTATTAAAAAAAGCTGTCAGTAGTTTTTAATTAGTTTAAAAATTTGTCTTTTATTGGTAATTGAAAGAAGCTGCAGTTTCTCTATGCTTGCAGTATATTTTATCAAAATTACTAGAGGAAATAGATGAAAGCTAATGTATAACCATTTCTTCTAGTTTATGTGAAAAAATACATTGAGAGGATAGAAGTGCTGCGGTATCATTCAGTCCTCAGTGAAAAAAATTAACTCTCAATTCTATGTAAAATTACACATTTGTGGCAATAGTCATTCGACGTCGAGACTCTATTATGTTTGAGTTTTAAAATAAGTTGTAATAGGCAAAGGACATATATGCAAAAAAATGTAAATGACGATGTGGATTTGTGAAGCTGTATGTATGTTGTATGATCCTTAATATTGATATTTGTATATTTTTCCTCTGTCAATTTGTATAATGATTTGTCAGTGTGAGTAAGAAAAATTACCTATGTTCGTTTAGGTTGTCAATGATCAATAATTATGATTCTTGCTGTAATTGTATAAAGTTTTAATGAAATTTTTATCATCCAAATTTTTTAAAAGTAAGCATAACGATTTAAAGAGGCTAAATAAAAAGTAATTGCCTCAGTGAAAGTAATAAAGGTATGTAAACCAACTACAATAATGTTGAAATTTGATTACAAATAGATTGACAACTGCAGTAGTATATCATTATTTGTCTCGTCCACAGAATTTTAACATGAAATATTGTATTGTATAATTTTATTCTAAGTATTATTCACATTTATATATTTTAATGGTGATGAAGTTCAGTCTGAACCAAAAACAAAGTGATCAAAGTTTGGACTAATGAAAATTCGTGTTTTACATTCTTTAAATTCTAGCTCAAACTTCCATGTATTGATATACTAAAAAATGGCAAATAAGTTTAAACGATTTTCGTTCCTGAAAGTAAATAATGTTTGAGTAATTAAAAAAAATCGTCTACATCACATGGCTATTGGTATTGTTAATACTGCTATTTTATTATTATATCATTATGTTTATTATTTTTAGTTAAGATTATAATGCAATGTTAGTTGTAAAAAAGAATACTTGCGTGTCTGTGGTATAGTTTGTCATGCTGATTTATTTGATTGGCTTTTGTTTTGGCTTTAAAAGTGATTTATAATTCGTTTATTTACTATTGTCGTGCAAGTATTGAATTATTTTATAAATGATATAATTTTTATGTTCGCAATTGTATATACAAATATCTTTATATTAGTTATAAAAGAAATATAATCGTATAAATTTACAAAAAAAATGGTAATTACGAGTTTGTTATTTTACACCGAGTCAACAAGTGCAGTGCGGATGAGTCAACGCTTGGCATGCAGCCGGTGAAATCGCTCGTAATAGGTGCAAAAAAGAAAAGACACCCGCGCCGCGTTGATAATCAGAGAAGTATGCGGCGCTCGCGTACGCATCCATTAGCTGCCAATTAGGTGGCAGCAAAAAAGTGCCACTCTCGCTCGCTCGCGCTCGGCACGCGTCTCGCTCGCGACTGCAGAGTGCGGCACCTAAATGTCGCACTGCGCGCCAACAGTTATAACTCCACGATGCATTGTTTCCTCTCGCGCGCTCCGGACTGCGGACCACTGTCACCTCATTCACCCTTGAAGCTTACGCGTGCTGGGCCGCTTTCTCATCATCATTAGTGCTTGCTCTGGATCATTGCAGATGCCTTGCTCCGTATACATCGCTGCACTACTTAACTCTTTGCATCTCCGTCTCCCTCTCTCAATTAATCTCTCTTTTCTGTTGCATACGTAGGTATTATTATAGGTAGAGTCACCGCGCGATAATTGCTCGGGGGAATCGCGACAATGACGATGCAACGCGCGAGCTTCATTTCCATACGATCGCGACTCTGCACACATGTAAAACTGTCTTGATAATGAGACGAGTGGGAATGCCAATCGTTTGTCGATGATTTTGTTTTTCATTTCACTTGCTGATTTACATATGCTGTATTATCCATTCGCCATTGTTTATAAGACCAAGCGGGGATCTGCACCACCGCTGGAGTACCCGCAACTATATTATGAATCCGACAACTTTTGCATGCATAATTCGCTTTTGATTTTGGTATACGAATTCGACCATTTGAATAATTGCAAAGTGCGCCGAATCATTTCGAATTTCAAAAAGCATATCACATAACGCCGCAACACAAAATTATTCTCTTATACTTGAACGCGTGCACAAAATTACGACACGTGTTTGTCCTCTCAAGTACGTTACGAGCTCGCGATACGGCGTATTCGAGAAGAAAAACGCAACATTTTGTATGCCGCGTGTGAATAATTAGGCTTTATCGCTCGCGCAACTATATCTCTCTCAATTGCCAAGGTAGTTTAATTTACGATCTACTGGTCGGACAGGTCGAGAAAAATGAATTGGAAATGTGCATCGCACCCGCACGCGCGCTCAGTCATTGCGATTTCACATAAATATAAACTTAAAAGAATCGACTAACGATTTTTTTAAGCTATTTCATTTGCCTCCGCTATTATTTTCTACATCTCGACACCTTTGTTGCGGCTATACGCGCAACGTAATTGAATCGGAGAGTTTTAGACGTGAAATAAGCCGTTTACGTGTGACAGAATTTGAATAATTATTAATACTAATTGTAACGCTTGAATATATTGATGTATGCAATTCGCATTACACTAATAAATACATTTTACGCTTGTTTTAAATACTATGTCGAGAAATATAAATAATCCTTGTTTATATGTGGCCGAGAACGTGGGATAGAATTTGAACTTTTTTTCGAGATGCAAGTGTAATTATTCCCGATTGATCGTATTAATGCAACTTTAATGAATCATGCACTCACCTCAGCTTTTACGAATGGAAATTAAAAGGAAAACTTGCAAACTGACGCTAATCGCGGAATCTCAATTATGTTCAAGAAACCAATAGATATCAACAAGCAACTTTGAGGAAATCACTTTTTTGGTGGAAAAAAATAAATACGCATTTGACAATAAATCAATTATAAATATTTATCGCTTCTCTTATTTTAATTTAAATTAAAAAAGACTAAACTTTAGAGGTAAACATTTTAGAATTATTTTGTTGCAAAGTACGGTAGAATCGATCTAGCTATGCGAACAAAAAATATGTATGCGGTACTAATTATCAGTTTTTAAATAGAATTAATTTTTCGTTATCAATATTTGTCTTACGTGTACATATACATACAGAGCCATCCATTAAATTTTTTGAAAGAGAAATAGAAAAATCGCGTGCACGAGTGAGATAAGCAATTTTTCAATGGACGCGACGAAAGAAGCCGTAACAAGTGATTCAAAGCATCCGAGTTATCAAAGATTATTCTTTAAAAAAAAACTCGCCAATGATGGTAGGAATTCTTTAAAAAAACACGTCTAGAGTGTTGATCGTGAGGTGTAAAAACACTCGACGATCAGAGAAAAATGGATTACCGGTAACAAAAACATGTGTATAAGCGAATTTCTCAATGTGCCTTACGTAGCTCGACCGAGTACAAAAAGAGTTCGAATAGACGCGATGATTGGCCGGCTATTATATTATCGTTTACAAATGCCATATTTTTGATGTGCTGTTTTGAAATCGAGCTCAAACAGTAGCTTTCGAATTTCAACTATAGGCAAAATCTGTCGATTAGCGATCGAATCCATCCAGACGACGATCGTGGTCGCCGTTGCGAATTTATTCCGGCCCGAAGAAGTATGCGATGTACTTGCTTGGGATTATTGAAGATAAGAATATATATTTGCCAAACGACGACGATAAGTTCATATCAGTTTTTAAATACGTCAAATAAAACGCAGATATAGACCAAATCGCCTCGTCGCTACGTTTTTATCGTTTTCGGTATGTTACTATTGCAGTTGTCGCAGGACCATTTAATAAACCAAAATCGTACCTTACATATACCTATCAATGTTCATACCTGCACACACACTAAAAATGACTTATGGATAGATCCAGTTAAAGTAGACAACTGGATTAGGAAAAGATATTTTGCTGCCGCAGCAAAATTATTGAGCTGTATTTCTCTAAATATTTTTTTTCTGTACACTTTGGCTATAGCTTTCGTTTGTGGCATCTCTGTACAGATCAGATCAATTTTATTTTCTCTCGTGGTCGCAGACCATCGAGTTGAATCATGCGGTGATCAGAGTTTCCTCCTTAATATTACTCGAGGGAAGAAAATGATACCAAAGAATGATATTTCTGAGTTCTGAATTCTGCTCGTTGTTTTCAAGTTTTCTGTCATTTGTGGATAGGTCATTCATCTTAAAGTATCGAAGAGTGATATTTCATTTGCAAATATGTTTCTAAAACACAGCTCAACCACCCAGCAAAAAATGTATTTGAATGTATCAAAATTCTGCAGGAGGTAAAAGTTCCGGAGCACATACTTGTGATTTTTCAAAAGCGATGATTCGAACTGTAATTATTTTTAAATAGAGTAAACAATTTCTACTGTGATGTATCGAACAGATATCATCCATCAACAGTCATGCTTTTGAATCGGCTATCAAATATTATTGATCCGTTGTCGTTCAAGGTTCGGTCGAAGTTCAATGTTTCACAAGTTTCTGGAATGAAAAGAAATTCGATCTTTATCGATTGATGATCGCCTTAAATTTGCAACACTAAGAAAAAATATTTGACCGTTTATTAACTTGATATACACACGATTATTTAAAGAGTTTTTCCTGCCACAATACAAATTATACTTGAGCACCGTAACTCTACTGCATATAATCTGGATTTTGACGCAATTATTAAGCGTTGTTAAGCTATCCAGGCAAATACACAGAAAACACAATTGTTCATTGTCACAGCACGGAGAATACATGATTTTTCAGCATTTTATTGAATGCATCTTTTTCCCATTATGTTATTCCCATTTTGTTATGTACTATGTGATTCATGTAACTTCTCGCTATGCTATTGTTGAACGAGTTGTTTTAAAATTCAAATTCTTATTACATAGTGTATGAACTGATAATGAGCCAAATTTTATACCTTCATTTTTCGTGAAACTTTAAATAGCTGTGTCTCCGGTTCTATAAGACTTGGAATGTTTTTAAAATCATCAAATTAAAAAACAACTTTTCTTGTTTTACTTGACTTTTCCTTGAAACGTTTTTTGATCATAAAATGTTTAGGCTTAACCAGATTACAGGTAATTTAGTGCTTTTTAAAGCTATATAATTGATTATGGGGGTTACCGCGGGCTTAATATGCGTCAGAAAAATGATGAAAATCGAATTTTGTTAATGTTGTTTATGCATTAAAATATTTTTTTGGATTCTGAAAAACTTCTTTGGTCTATTCAGTCTTTAAATCGAGGAGCGCGCTCGCGCTCGCTCTGGCAAGTATGGCAGAGAGAGCTGCGGCGTACACGCTCCTCATATACATCGCACTGGCGTTTTTCGCTGCCCGCGAAAACTCTCTTTCACTCTCATTTGAATTTGATAACAGATATCTTAATTCTGTAAAGTCCTATGGAATCCTGGATAAAAATGCAAGCCAACGATGTATATAACATACCGAAAAAAGTTTATTTTCAACAAAATACGAGCGATTGAAAGAAAAATCCACTTCGCAAAAAACGTTCTTACCAAAAAGTGGTCAGACCAAAATGAGTTTCAGACCATTTGCTCTTATCTGTTCACGTTAGTATATACAGCAACTTTTAATGCTATATAAATGACCAAAAAATGCTTCAATCGAATACGCGATCAAAAAATTACGTTTTTTACGCTGAACTATCGATTTTCTTTAGATGGCTCGGGGTAAAATTTTTTTTTTTAATTCTTAATCATTCTGGGCTCCGTATGATACACTATCGATCTAAGATATCTTTTTCACTAAAAAATCAAATTGGATAAATGGTCATCCTATTGTCAACTTACAATAAAAGGACAAAAAAAAAAATTTGTTGAATATCCAAAATGGTCGTATACTAGTTGAAAGCGGTCAGTAACTGGGAAAGGAACCCTACGTATATGTCATGAGGATTTGTGGCGTACGGTGTAGTCTCGCCAAATAAATTGATTCTTTTTTTTTATTATATTCGGGTCTTTATCGTACGGAGCGGCAAATATTTTTTTCAAACGTACTGAAAGCAGATATCTCTCTGCTTTGACGATGTTCGCAAGAGCGGTGTACGGGATGCTATAAGAAAAGAGAGGAAGAGAGAAAGAGAGAGAGTGTGTGTGTGTACGCGCAGCATCTCGCAAGCGAGCAAACAGCACTCTCGCATACACTCGGACGTATAGTTAGGCTTATATGAGCAAGCGCACATTCGAGGAGATTGAGCTTCATGAATGGAATCGACTCGCGCCTGCAGCGGGAGAGAATCGAGTCCTGGAAGCGGAAACACTCGCGCCCACGCACCACATCTCATCATCATCTCTTTCTCTCTCACGTGCAAGCGAGCTGCATCCACCATATGCGCTTTGCCTCTCTCTCTCTCGCGCGCTTGGACAGCGTACACGCGCACGCAGAGAGAAACCGAGTAAGAGCAGAGAGAGAGAGAAAAACAAGAAGAATAAGCGAGTCGTCGTCGTCGTCGTCTCGGTTGTAGCTGTGCAGCAGCATCGCATAAGCTCACTCATACACAGGGGACTTTGGAGAGCGAGAGAGTTTGCGGAGACTCGACTCTTGGCATCGCATTGCGGATCGCGTGCAAAAGCGAGCGAGGCGAGTCGCGATCGAGAAGGTGGGAGGTACTGTGGCACACGCCGGGGCGTGATCCTTATTCGTGGCGGCGCGCGCGCCTGCTCGCCTCGCGGGTAGGAGAACGAGAGGCTAGACAGCGATAGGCCAGTCAGCGCGGAACCGTTGCCTTGACGACTCCGCGACCTATACCCACGTACGCGTCAAAATATACATATAGCGACTGCGACTGCGTTCGCTGCTACTATAGCACTACGAGGAGGAGGACGACGACGACGACGCCGACGACGACTCGACGTTAAGCGCCGTACGCGGACAGCCGATCGAATCCAGCGATCGTTGTTCCGTAGCGCCGAGACCGACGACTCCCTCATGATTCTCAGTTTCGAGTCGTGCAAACAGAGAGAAATACCCACGCGCGCACACTTATCAGTGCTACGTGCTCGCTTATCGTCGTCTACCCACTCGATACGTAGCAGTCGTCGTAGCAGCAGTGTAATAATAGTAGTTTCTCCTACGTGTTTCTCGTTAAATCGGTAAGGACGTCAAAGTATCGCTTGACTTATCCTGCAACGACGAAAGATCGGAGCCCTCCGTGTGCCGAGCATGTGACTCGGTCGATCATGCTGTTCGAGTGCTCAAAAACAAACAGTGAAATCGGCCATAAATCTCTGACGGACTCGCGAGATCGGCAGATCGTAAGCAACGGCCAGAGCAGTAGCAGCCGCTCGAGCAGCAGCAGCAGCAGACGACGAGTAGTAGCGGCAGTAATCCGACAACGAGGGGCAATCCGATGCTGCGGCTCGAGCGTCGTCCGGCGTCTGGGTCGCCAGAGCAATCGTTGCAACCGATCGATCGTCTAAGTGTTCCCTCCGAGCTTATCCTGGACTATTGTAGCTTCTACGCCGAAGACGAGGCTTACTTTTCTTCGGCTGCGGCTGCTCCCTTGTGCGGCAGCGGCGGCAACGCCACGGCAAACGGCCCGTCCGCTTGGGTCCGAATGGATACTTTGCCGAGCAATCGCTGTCTCGGCTCCGTTGCGGCTAGTGGTGCGATCCCCGCCGCTGGCAACCCCGATGCTATGCTCTCCCAACCCCAACAGCAGCAGCAGCAGCAGCAGCATCAACAAATGCAGCAACAGCAGCAGTTTGGCAACCAACAGCAAGCCCCGTATCAGCAACACAGTTATACCGATCAAATAGTGCCGGAACACGTGAGCGTGACGACGAACAGTGCCGGTCTAGCAGTGCTACAAGATACTTCGTCGACGGTGGCTGCTCTTCAGCAGCAACAGCAGCACCAAGACATGCTTGTGATATCTGGTGCTCATAATCCCAGTAATGTTAGTAATAGTGGCAGCAGTCCGCATAGCAGTAACAGTAGTGTCGTCATCGAGCCGATGCATTGGCAACACGAGCCGCCCCAGCAGCAGCAGCAGCAGCAACAGCAACAGCAACAGCAGCAGCCGGCTTACGTCGACTATGTCCCCTGGCTACAGGTGAGTTTTTTATGCCCATTTTTGCGATTCGATGTTTTACACGCAGCCGCGATTGACACACGCTTCGATTGAATCTTCGTCTCGTTCGTTGGCTTTTTTTCGAACGTTGCGTTAAAAACGCGCGTCTCGAAGCTTTTTCACAACTGCGGTAAACATTCGAAACTAATAGAAATCAAAGCCAACGACGCGTGTTTGCTCACTTATTAGCTCGGCTGCATTGGAGCTGCGTTTAACACCTCTCTAGCCGTCGTCCAGTCGTTTCACTTATTTTCCATTAGGTACTTACTTGTCATCGAATTTACACCGCGGACAGATTTTTGTTGCAAAAAAATGACTTTTCATTTGCAAAGGTATACGTTGTTGCGCGCGAGTGAAATTTTTATTACGATACACGGCAATGTTTGACAGTACGGACTGACGAAGAGGCATTGCAAGTGCGGATAAATATTTTCAATTCGATTTTAAATAATTTTGACGCGTTTCTGATATTTTAAAAAATGACTTATCAATAAAGTTGAAAAGTGTAAACATTTCATAAATCGAAGTATAATTCAACTTAATGATGCGAATGCATCAAAAACCATGAAGCTAACAATATACATCAGGTGATATAACAATATCAATGCAGAATACACATAAATCTCTTTGTGAACGCTACAAGAGTCAGGCGTCATTTTCCTTATTCAACGTCTTATCAAACATTGTTCCCATCCAATTGTTCTGTACTTACAAGCGTGTATGATGAAATGACTGATTTCTTGTTTTTACATTTATGCATCGTATATCGATTGTTATATCACCATGATATACTGGCTCGTTGGCGCTCGTTGAAGTTCACACATCATTAGGTAGATTAATTTTTTCGTATAATAATTTGTCTGGACTTTATATAGCTTTGATTAGTTAACGATTAATCAAGAGCTCGCCAACAGCTGTCGAAATGACATTCGTACAAACAGTTGAAAATCACATATCCTTTGTCCTTGAGAAATTTAAAATTGGCAGATTGCAAACTTCAACCCTGGCAAATTTGAAGCGCTGTCCAAAAATTGCCGCACATATTATCTTTGTAACTCGCGTCTCACTTAATCAAATGGCAATTAGTCAACGCGACCGAATAAACGGCGCGAAGCGCAAACACGTATACACGAGCGCATGTGGACAAAAAATAAATATACATATAAATATAATATATCTGTGCGTATGGGTTTACATTATATGCACACATATATAGGATCTGCTAAAGTGGTGGAAAATAATAGCTTTGCGTAGGCGCAACATTAACACAGGCTCACACACGCTTTCGCGTCTCTCTCTCTCTCTCTCACTCGCGTGTATATAGTTCTTTGTTCTTGTAGGCATCGTCGTGTCTCTCGAGCTATTGCTGTATGTATAAAGATATGCACACGCATATGCACATATAAACAGGCACACATCAAGGATACCGAGACTCGATGGATTATTACGAGGCACACACACACACACACACACTCACACACATGCTGGTACTATAGTGGCGCGTTGCGTATACTCGAGCGAGGCGAGAAAATCGATTTTTCTCCGCGACCGAGAGCCAGCGAGTGCAGCGTTACACGCTTTAATTAAAGGGATTATCAAATTAATAGGATGCGCGCGCATTTACCTTGTTTTCTCACACTTGCTTTACAAGGACGTCGCGCGCATGACCCACTGGTAGTTGCTGCTCTGCATTGCATCGTCGTCGTAAATAGAGAGTACGACCGTTCCACTGCTATACATAATTTAGATCTATCGGCTCACAACTGCTTCTACTCTCGAGGATTATTACACGCGCTTGTGTGCGACTGCAAAAAAATATGCCATCTCTCTTTCTCTCTCTTTCAGGCAATACGTCTTTTTCGCGCTTTTATCCTGGCGACTACGCACTGGTAATGTATAAAAAATATGCAAATGCGCCGAAGAAATTGTGCTGATCCTGCTAATGTGTCGCGCTCAGACTCGAGTTCGATCGCACCGCATCTTCCTCTATATCTATACGCGTAGACACACACACACACACACACACAGACCCATGATGATCGCGGCACGCAGCAGGTAGGTAGGATAGGCATATGAAGATGTATCGGCACGTGTAATCGGCTTGTTTTTAATCAGGCTTCAACGCGCAGATCGCGCGCACACAAATATATATAAACTCTCGAGACGTTTGGCTTGTAATACCTTTTTATCGCAAGCAATTCATTAGATACATTTTCAATTTCACTCGGGAATTTATTATCTTTTTCTCGTATAATACGGCCTGCGCATTCGCAAACGCATGTTTGTACCCGCGCGCCAAAGTGAAATATCTTTTATTATTCGCTTTTACCGCTGCACGGCAATCGCATATCAACGCGCCGCAGCTCAAGAACGACTAAGAGCGAGAGAGAGAGAGAGAGAAGAGAACAAACTTTGCGAATTGCTTTTGAGTCTATGCGCTCGAGCTCGATTCTTCGCATATATTCGCTCATATGGGCATAGCGCACACATGTAAATGTATAAAATGCGCTTAATCCTCGCATTCAAAATCAAGCGCGAGAGGAACATTATAACGTTATATTCCGCCGGTATATGCGTTATAATGCACGGCGATGGCTCCTCGCGCGGCTCGTCGGGCGTGTTTAGCATATTTCTTCGGTACTATATAGCGAATAGACGCGCGAGACGAGAATAGAGAGAGATAGAAAAATAAACGAAGACCATCGGATCGTTTATTTTTACTCGACCGATGTTTTTTTCCTCTCTTTCTCCGTCTTTTTCTCTCCCTCTCTCCATCTTTTATACTTTGTTAAAGATTAGTTCTATAATCCTACCAATGTGTGTAAGTGTATTCTCTCAAAAAATTCTAGTGGCTTCGCCGTTTAGCAAAATTATACGACGATATACCTTGAACGGTGAATCTACCGAGCGGCGAGTACACTTTGAGTTTCAATACATGTGCATTCTATATACATGGTCGATTTTCAGTGACGACCCGTCGACGAAGAAAAGTTAAATTTCCTGATTGTGTGGAGGAGCTCTTGACTCGCTGGTATTAGCGATTTCGATATTATTACGTATGAATGCACGAAGCAGATATTGAAATAGAGAAATTTCTGGTTTACGCGCGAAACCGACTCTGGTCGCAAAATGACAATAGAGTCCTTATCGATATACGCGGTCGCGGCTCGATGAGACGAGCGAGGCAAGAAAAAATGAAACATTGTTTATACATTGAATAAAAGTGGCGAGTGCGCGAAACAATGCTCGCCTTGGTTCGTTCAAATAGATCTCGGAGTTTTCAAAAGAAGAATGAGAAAAAGTGGAGAGAGAAATATAACGAAGAAGGTCGAATTCGCGCGACAGCCGGGTCACAATAAGCGTCTTTGGCTCTTCGATATTCCCTCTCTCTTTCTCTTCTGAATAAAGTCGTAAAAATTGGCGGCTTTATGCGTTACACACTTTTCATCCTGCGCGTATAGCGTCTGGGGTTCTTCGCGCCTCATGGGCATATAAACGATCGCGTCTCACAATGAAGCAATTACAGCGTAAGCAATATACTCTTTGCCGATTGTTTTTTCAGCTAAGCGGGCTCGCGAGCTCGAGACAGAGATAGCTAAATGCCGTTTAACTAGCCGTTGCACGCGTACAACGCTAATCGTCGAGCTCGTCCTTTTTTCAACTTTTTACTCCGCGCCGACGAAGAAAAGGTAAATGGAAAGGGAGAAAAGGGAAAAAATCAGGGACGCCTACGTTGTTATATCGGCCAGGTATTGCGATATTCACGTAGCTTGGGCGGGTGCGCAAGAAAAAGCCGGTACACATTAGGCCGATTGTGCATCAAAAGCGCGTGAAATTCATTTCCTCGCCGTACGCATGCGGCATTAAATTTTACAGCGTAAATTCGCGTATAATGTACATAAGGTAAGCAGTCGCGAGTTGGCGCACGCAATAAAGTGCACGATTAATCGACCATTAGCTGCCGCCGTCGCATCGCTGCCGAGAGAGAGCCAACGGAAGCACACGATTATCGGTATCCGGGAATGTCCGATGCGAGGGTGAAGCTAGGCGACGAGAAGGACGACGATGACGACGAGGAGCACACACACACAATGCGACCGAGCGAGTAGTATGTGCGCCTAGTATCGTTACGCCCGACCGATCGTTCGCGATTCGTCATGGCTATGTGGCCCATACGTATACACGCACGTATAAGCTCTGACATTACGGAGCTCGCTGTGATACGCATCGCACTTGTAACGCGACTCGCTGAATAACTACCGAGGGGCTGCTAATTATGTATATAAGCCTAGCCTATTATACTCGAGGGTGGGTGGGATCGACGATGTATGCGAGACGATCGGAAAGCGTGTGTATTAATCGATGTTTGCTTTCGCAGCGCTGCCCCAGCTAGTCTCGATAAAACCGACGCGATTTATCGCTAAAAGCCTTTCTTTCCCTCCCCCTTCCCACGCGCTGCTTCAAATCCAATTAATACGCTACGCGATCTTTTGACCCCGCTGCGGACTTTTCAAAGACGAAATGCCACTTAGCTTTAATATCGCGGGACACGAGTTCTTATTTTTCGATATTTTTCGATTTATCGATACGTTCGATCGACTTATTCATATTCAATTTCTTCGTGTTAAATGCAATTCTATAATGCTCGAGCTGGTATAGTATTGCCCAATTGTGAAAGGCATATACAAAGCGGCAAACAATAAACTGATGAGCCGCGTCGATGTGCTTGGGCCGCGAGTCGACTAGTCTATACGAGCACTGCTGCAGCGTACAAGTGAGTTGAACGAACGATAAGACGATACGCGATAGTTGTGCCTCTTGCTTCGTGTATAGCATTGGTCCACGCGATTCGCGCCCCACATACATAATACATCTCGAGAGAAATTGCAGCAACGAGGCCTATCTCTTCTCTCTCTCTCTGTATGCGCCATGCAAAATCTCGAGCTCGGGCGGTACAGCTATTGTTGCGTAAAAGCCAATCG